ATTTGAAGTAAATGTGCCTACGCGAAATTATAGGCCCATTAACATAAACGACTAAACGCTTGCATATGTTTGGTGTCGGTGACGGTGAGTTTCGTCCGCTTTTTCTTTGAATTGAAGCAACGGTTTTGATCCGTACAAATCAAATCAACGGTGGTGATTACGCAAATCCCTAGACGCGGAAGTTGACTTATGAAGTTTTAGTCTTATAGACTAGAAGTTATTTTCTCAGCCGTCCATCTAAAGATCAACGGTTTCTGTAAAACGAATCTCCTTTTGCACTTGCGCGTTCTCAGAACACCCAAAAACCGATCCAATCGATTCCTCAAAATTCACCCGCCCGAATTTGACTCTCTTGCTAGATCTCGATCGTCGTCTCCGAATCTCCTGGCGTAAACCCCCTAGAGCTATATCTTTGTTTTTGATTTGTAATCCTTGTGGATCGGAATGAGAAATTGATTCGATACTAATTTAGGGATTCGTAGTCTCGGGGGGCTTTTGTTGAAGAGGGCGAGTTATGGCGGGGAAGAGTGACTCGGTGTCGATCAGTGTGCCGTATAGGAATTTGAGGAAGGATGTTGAGCTTGAGATGGTGACGAAGCATCAAATCGAACCGGCTTCTTCGTCTTCTCCTTCGAATCATCCTGAATCGGCCGATGGTGATCCCGCGTCGAAGAATTGTAGCTTAGTGACGCTGGTCCTTAGTTGTACAGTCGCTGCTGGTGTTCAATTTGGTTGGGCATTGCAACTTTCTCTTCTCACTCCTTACATTCAGGTATTACTGCTCTCTATCGCTGCCGCCATTTTTGTCACTTTTGGCATTTTCTTTCTCAGTCGTGTGCTAATATTAGATACTAGAGGGTGTAGCTTGTACGAAGAAGTCGAGTACTTTGTAGGTGAAAGCAATGAAGTTCTAATCGTTAGGTGGGTGTTGTTGTTGGCCAATTCATAGTTGTAGCAATGAGGTGTTTTCGTGTGGAACTATATTATGGAGGTAGACAATATCTAGCCAAAATTATATTATATTCGGATATCAAATATAGCTCAGAATGTTTTCCATAGAATTTCTTAAGCGTCTTTTGGAACTAGCGTATATTTCAGAATGTTTATCACTTCTGAACTATGGATTCCCTTGAGTTGTGTTCCAGACATCTGAATTATATTATATACATCAAGTGGGTAGGTATGATGCTACTGTTCTTAGATTTGTCTTTGATGGAAGAAGTTGTTGGCATTTTTCCCTTGTCGTCGTTGCTGATGAACCCTTTTGAGTTTTAATCTAACTGTGTTGCATTTGGCTGATTGATGCAGACTCTTGGAATATCGCATGCTTTTTCTTCTTTTATCTGGCTGTGCGGCCCAATTACAGGCCTTGTGGTAGGTTCACCATCAACTTTTGTTTCCTTTATAGCAATTATACGAATTTCTCATAAGTATATTCAGTGATTATCTGCACATTTCTCTCTCATTATAAAAAAGCTGATTTATATAGGATCAGAAACTATTGTTCTTATGTGAGCATACATTTTCTGTTACATTTGTTGGTTTTCAGGTCCAGCCTTGTGTTGGCATTTGGAGTGATAAATGTACTTCTAAGTATGGAAGAAGACGACCGTTTATTCTCGTGGGATCACTCATGATCTCAATAGCAGTAAGGGGAAATAGAAGATATGATTTCTGTTTTTATTTTCCTTTACGAGATAAGCTGGCCTATGTTTTATATAAGCTAAACAAAAGCTTGCAATTTAGGTGATAATAATCGGCTTTTCTGCAGACATTGGGTATCTGTTAGGAGATACAAAGGAACATTGCAGGTTGCTCTCCTTCTCCCGTGACTATTGCATGTTTGTATGGAATCTATAAAGCGAAAGTAATTGACGACTTGATGTGTTTCTGTAAATATAGTACTTTCAAAGGCACACGGACCAGGGCAGCTTTTGTCTTTATCATTGGGTTTTGGTTGTTGGATCTTGCAAACAACACAGTACAGGTAAGATCCAATCTACCAGATTTAATGGTGTTAGTCATTACCCAAACATCCAGGAATGATGTTTTTTGCTTTTGTTTCAGGGACCTGCTCGTGCTCTTCTAGCTGATCTATCAGGTAATGATAGAATTTCTCCATAGACCATATTTACTATTGAAAACTAGAAGTAGGTTGAATTTTCCGTTCTTCTGATTCTGTATCAGTTTATTAATTAGATGTTTCTTGCTTTCTTTAGGTCCTGATCAGCGGAATACTGCAAATGCTGTGTTCTGCTTGTGGATGGCTATTGGAAATATCCTTGGGTTTTCTGCTGGTGCTAGCGGACAATGGCAAGAGTAATATTCGAGATCCTCGCTCTCAAAAAAACTTGTTTTCTCTTGCCTCATTTGCATTTTCCGCCAGCTGTTAAATGATAGGGGCAATTTTACTGAGCAGATGGTTCCCTTTCCTAACTAGTAGAGCATGTTGTGCTGCATGTGGAAATCTTAAAGCAGCGTTTCTTCTTGCAGTGGTAAGCAATATGTTTATTTTTCTGATACATGCATCTGCTAAGATATCTACAAAATGCAATGAATACCAAACCCTGTCATGTTTATATCTTGAGGATTACAACTTAAGACATTCTATTTAATTCGTGAGGTGATTTTGAAAGTCTTAGTCCATATTTTTCCAGCTAGTGGCTTTTGTTCTTGTTTTGTAAACTGAATGTATTGTTCTGTGTTTTTTTCTAAGGATTGTCGTTTTTTCAGGTCTTTCTCGCTATATGCACTCTCGTCACAATCTATTATGCTAAAGAGATTCCTTTGACAAGCAATAAGCCTACCCACATACCGGATTCTGCACCTTTGCTAGATGATCTCCAGTCTAAAGGCCTTCAGCTCTCAAAATCGAATAATGGTACTGCCAATGGGAACAAGTATGAGAGAGTGGAACGTGATATGGATGTACAGCACGGCAAGTCAACGAATGAGCATCAAGATGAGACCTTCATTGATGGCCCTGGATCTGTTATAGTGAACTTGCTAACCAGTTTAAGGCATTTGCCTCCTGCTATGCACTCAGTTCTTATCGTCATGGCTCTTACATGGGTGAGTGGAAAGAAAACATTATGATATCTTTATATCTGTTATCACCGACTGTTACCTGTTCTTAGATTCTTATATGAGATTGAAAACCATTTCTTTCTTTTTATATCGTGGTTTTTGGTATCCTTCCTTGCAGTTATCGTGGTTCCCCTTCTTTCTGTTTGATACAGATTGGATGGGAAGAGAAGTTTACCACGGGAACCCAAAGGGAGACAGTTGGCTTGTGGAACTCTATGGTCAAGGTGTCCGTGAAGGTGCATTTGGTTTGCTACTAAACTCTGTAAGAATCGATCTAAATAACCTTTTTGTTTAAATTATTTATCAGAAACGGATTCTAATCTAACTGCTCTGCACTTCAACCACTTGCCCGCTAACGAATGAATCTTTTTCCCTGGTTTCCGTAGGTTGTTCTTGGGATCAGCTCATTCCTCATTGAACCAATGTGTCAGCGGATGGGTGCACGAGCTGTATGGGCTCTGAGCAATTTTACTGTATTTGCCTGCATGGCAGGAACAGCTGTAATTAGCCTGATGTCTCTGAGGGATTCCTCTAAAGTTGAACACATAGTGGGCGTGAATGAAACAACAAGAACTGCAGCCGTAGTCGTCTTTGCAATCCTTGGTTTTCCTCTAGCTGTATGTGTTTTCTTTAATCAGAAAATTCTCTTTATTCTTGTTTCAACGTTCACCTGAAGTACGCGATCATCATTTTGTTTTGGTTTCTGTTGTGCAGATCACATACAGTGTGCCTTTCTCTGTCACAGCAGAAGTCACTGCTGATTCCGGTGGCGGTCAAGGTCAGTGAAAAGATCCATATCTTCTCTATACATTCATATGTTTAATTCTTTTCAGGAATTTTAAAAATGGTATCATTTCCTCAATGTAGGTTTGGCTATAGGAGTGTTGAACCTCGCCATCGTCATCCCTCAGGTAATCTCTCGGAATTCAATAATCTTGTACAATGATTACACTCAATTCGAGTATAGAATCGTAATTAGTTCCTGAGCATGGTTTTGGCTTTTATGAACAGATGATAGTATCACTTGGAGCGGGTCCATGGGATGCATTGTTTGGAGGAGGAAACTTACCGGCGTTTGTTCTGGCGTCTGTTGCTGCTTTTGCTGCCGGAGTTATTGCTTTGTATAGGCTTCCCACATTATCATCTTCTTTCAAGTCCACCGGTTTCCACATCGGCTAAAATCTTTTTAAACCCCAGGACTCGGACTCCGATACAACACCGAAGCCACAGGCATTTCCAGGCGGTATAGACTTAAAAATTCAGATTTAGATCAATTCGATTCTTTTTGGCCATCTTCTCTCCTCAGCGTATATGTATGTAGGTTTTGTACATGTTGTTTTTGTTATATGTATCCACAGCAATGTGACTCTTATCACTTGAAAAAGGTTCAAATACTAATATTAGCATAGTGGTAATTTTTGTTATTTTGAATCACTTAAAAGTGTGTTCCCTCCCTTCCTCTAAAATACAAAACTCAAACCTCTCTCAATCAAACAAATAAATAACACATCAATAGTTTGATCAACAAAAAAAGATCGTCTTTTGTCATATATTTCATGCTTATGTGTAAATCTATCAGCTTATATTATCAAAGAAGATCGAGATATACATACACACTAATACCAACGACTTAATGAGCCCTTAAATACAAGGTCATCTTTTAGTTGAGACTATTTAGACAGTATTTCAGAAGAAAGAACAAAAATGTCAAACTAGGTTTACCTATATTTTACTATAGTTAAGACCAAACTATAAACTCCAATAGTGTGAAACAGAAATAAACCATACGTAAGATTTTGTTGGTTCGGTCTATAGACTTATAATCAATTTACGTAGACAATGTGTCCAGAAATAATAAATGACCATATATCGTGGGTTGTTGTCACACCCACTCTAATTAAAACAAACGAAACATTGAATGCCTTAGTTTCACATCTTCTTTAAAAACCCTTTTGTCCATTTTCACTTCAATTCGTCTTCATTCAATCTATCTCCCTTTCTCTCTCTAATCTTTTGCCTAAGATCGATATCCATGGCCAAGGGAAGAGGTAGTGCATCATGGTCGGCTCGAGCCATAGTGGCTATGATGGTGGTCTCAGTGTTGGTCCTTCAAGCTGACTACGTTCAAGCTGTGAGTTACACAGTCGGTGATTCCAACGGCTGGACCTTTAACGCTGTGGGTTGGCCTAGTGGCAAACATTTCAAAGCCGGTGACGTTCTCGGTATACATACTTCACATCCTTTAACTAAGCTTCACATATATTCTGTTATCTTGTCGAAATGTCTTCCCATGAAGAAATATCTATCTATTTATAATTAGGGAATAGTAATATATATTTTTTTAATTTAAATATCTCAAATATTGACTAGATTTTGAGAAATATCTTGCAGTGTTTAACTATAATCCGAGCCTCCACAACGTGGTCGTGGTAGATAGCGGAGCGTACAACAGTTGCAATGCGCCGGGACGTGCGAGAACTTACACTTCAGGCAAAGATCGTATAACTTTGTCTAGAGGACAACACTTCTTCATCTGCAGTTTTCCAGGCCATTGCGAAGCCAATATGAAAATCGCAGTCACTGCTGTTTGATCTTTGATTGATCACGCAGTCGAAATAGTATGATCTTCACTTTTGTCATGTCCTTAAGAAAATATTATGTATCCAATAAAAGCTTGGCTCCTGCTGAAGTTGCAGAACTTGTAATGGTTTATTGTATCTTCTGACAATTATCCGTTGCTTGTATCTGCAAACAACCATTTTTGGTTTAGTAGTTTGGAGGATCTTTGTTATGTAGATTCAAATAGACCTCTTATATAGTTATTATAAAAATACTTATAGATGATGAAATAAAGACAAAAACAATACTGCAAAGGATATCCAAAAACTCCTAGCAATGTTGGGATTTGGTAACACCAAAATGTAATTTTGACCCCAAAAATGACTTTTAAATTTGGTAACACCAAACTATAATTCAACGTCCATTTTAGCATAATTCAACGTCCATTTTAGCATAAATTTGGTAACACCAAACTTGTTTATTGAATCCTCTCGGTTTTTGTAATAACATAATTCAATGTCCATTTTAGCATTTTCGAACTTATTTTTGGTTTTTAGCATTTTAGAACTTAAATCAACATTCTAGTAAATTTTCATTCATACAGTATATTTTGTTTTTCATACAGGTTTTACTAAGAACAAAATTGTAAACATAAATCTGAAACAAGCCCATATAATTAAAGATATAAACTGAATTTAATTTTCACAAAAAGATTAAATTTGGTAACACCAAACTGTAATTTTGGTGACTTGGTTATTGAATCTTCTCGGTTTTTGTAATAACATAATTCAATGTCCATTTTCGCATTTTCGAACTTATTTTTGGTTCTCAGCATTTTAGAACATAAATCAACATTCTAATAATTTTTTTTTATACATACGATATATTTTATTTTTCATACAGATTTTATTAAGAACAAAATTATAAACAAAAAATCTGAAACAATCCCACAGATTGCAATATAAAATGAACCTAAGGTCTTGACTGTTTGTAGTTTTTCGAATAGTTTTTGGTTTTAGTTTTTGAAAAACTATTTTTTTAGCCATTCAAGTTGTTAAACAAATAGATTCCCTAAATTATAGAAAAACTAGTTTTTCATGGCTTTTAGTATGTTACAAACAAAAACTAAAAACTATATTTTTTTAGTTTTTGTAAGAAGTTACCATAATATTTTCGTTTTTAAATATATGTATATTTTTATAGATATTTTTTGGCATTACTCATTATTTTGATAAGAAATAATATTTGTATTTATTAATAAACTATATTTATTTGGTTTTGGTACTGTTTAGTAATACTTTAAATATTCAATGCAACAAAAATTAAATAAAACATAAAACCATATCTTATAATTAAGTCCTTATCTTATATTAAAAAATATAAATAAAAAAAAATCACCATTCATTTTTTTTGTAAAACTAAGACCTACAACAACAAAAAACCAAAAATTCAAGATCTAAAATCAAAAATCAGAATAATATATTATTATTGATAAATCTCACACAATTGTTTTTGATCATTTAAAACACATAAAACAAATTTTATCTCCATTTTTTTATAAACATCTCTAAAAAATGTGCAATAATAAGCTTATTTTAATTTTATGACACAGGCATATGTACATATTTATTGATAATTTTATCATTACTTATATTTTTGTGAATTTATTAACAATAAATATGTTAAAAACTAAAACTTATAAGCATAACAACATTTTTAAAAAAAAATGTAGGTAAAAACCAAAAACTAAACAAAATACCATTCAAGTTTTTTTAAAACCAAAATCTACTGCAAAAACAAAAACCCAAAACTAAAAACCAAAACTCCAAAAATCTAAAACCAAAAACCAAAAACCAAAATCTAAAACTAAAAACTACATAAACATTCATTCATGTTATAAATTTGGGCTTTATGGTAACATAAGCCCACATATTGCAATATCATTGGCGCATTAGTGAGCCTGTTAACGAGTTTTTTTATGTCGCATACATTTATTGCAATTTTTGAATATGATTTCTCGCTGTAAATATCTATTTTCTTTTATGAAACGTATGTCTGCGAGAGTCTGCAAGACTGCAACTAATGATCTTGTCGTATATGATTATAATCAGACAATAATGTGACAGCCAAATTTAAATAAAATAAAAAAGATATTATAAGTTTAAGAACCAAATATATTATAATTATAAAATTATGTTACTGTTTGGTCCTACTCCAACATATCCTTCATGTTTTGGGGTCACGCCCTCTGCATATTAAATGAGTACAACCTCACATTTTATCCTCCATTTTTTTAAATTAAATCATGTAAGAACAAATTAAATTGATAAAACTAATCGGATGAAACATTGTATCCATATATGAAACCACAACCCAAACATCTTTAGAAAATGATATAAGCAATCTTATCCGATGAAACTAAAATATAATAATCTGCCCCCTTCGCTATTGTCATTCTCATTATAAGCTATAATCTATGTCGTGCTCATCATATTTGTTTAAGTTCCCACATAAAGATGAAGCTAATCTCCATTGGATTCCAGATTAATCTGGACTTACGGATAGAGTAAATGGGTGATAAATCGGTAAATTAAATGAGTAGAAGATGCAAGTAGATAGGTCTATTCTATATAAAAGAATAGAGTTTAGTTGAGTCTTTGCTTTGATATGTCTGACACATTCTCATCAAATCTGAGGCAGTCTTCTCCATTTCCATTGACTACTATTCTTGTCTTTTTAAATATTATATAATTATTCTCTCTATATATATCAATTTTTTTTTTGCTTGATTAAAAAAATATGCTTCCTTACATTGCGTTTTTATTCTCTACGTATACATGCTTTCTATACATAAATAAATTCCTTATTTTGACGGGAAAAGATTCTTTTTTTTTGTTGTTGTTGCTAAAGGTGTATTTTCTTCGATAAGTAGTGCCTACAAAAAGATGTTTGTTTTAGTAGGACATATGGCATATTGGCATGGTGGAACTATCCAAAATTATTTGATGAATGAACTAGACGAAAATAACGATATAAGATTCCTTATTTTAGACGAAAATAACGATATAAGATTCCTGATTTTAGACAAAAATAAATACCCCTTTATAGATGTCAAAGTATAAATCTATACGAGGCAATAAATAAATCTCTTTCAAACTTATTATTATTATTCTTTTTTTTTCAGTTCAATTCGATTCTTCTTTACAGTTTATTCGAAATATAAAATATAATTTAAGAACAAGAATTGATATGTATTTCCAATTTTTGTACTATTGGATTTCACTAACCAAATTAATCATCTCTAGTAATTTTTTTGTACGTATCCATAAGTCAAAAATAATATGTATATATAGTATATGTATAAGACAAAAGAGGCCTACAAGGCTACAACAAATTAAATGATTACCCTAACTGTTATATAAGCGAATAAGCGATCATGAACTGAAATCCAAAACACTTGTATATGATTTTATGATTGATGAAGTGAAGTCTAGACCATTTTACTTCTAGTTCGTTAGCGTAAAATTTTAAACATTGGTGGAAATACACATTTGCGAACGTATAGAGATTAAAAGAAGAAAAAAGGTATGTGTATTATACACGTGAGCGTATGGGCGGTGGAATCTTGGCAAAAGATAAAACGATTTGATGGAGGATTGATTTAACAAATTGTCACTATAACCAGAGCGAGACAGAGGGGTCTCTCAACTTTCGATAAAGACGAACAATTTGCAGAATTATCATTGTTTAAAGCTTGAAGCCACATGCATGTCCACATTGCGTACGTACGTACCTATATATATGTATATATACATGATTTATTATTATATATATCCTATCCATACATACATGTATATATGGCGTATCTATACATACATCCATGCGGTCATGTAAATGTAGCTCGTACGTAAAATCCATGATCGATTGATCGTATATGTCATATGTGATAACCGAAAAGTATATGTGATTTCGAGATTTTCTTTTAGTTACATGCATATCCACGTTGTGTATGTGCGTATATATACATAATTTATTATGTATCCTATTCAGACATACATATGACGTATTTATACATATATCTATAACCCATGCGGACCATGCGGACATGTACAGATCAGTCAAAGTTCAAAGAAAGAAAGAAAAAAGTACATATCAGTACGTCAAAAAAATGCACGTATATGTGATATAACTGATAAGTAAATGTTTATATTTAACTTCAAAAATGATAATATACCATTGTGTTTTTATTTTATTCGACAATTAGTTAGCGGCGCAACTCATTGGCTAAGTACATTTATTTTTTTAAACAAAAAACTGTTTGGTCCAATGGTCAAACTGACAAGTGACAACTAACCTTAAACTTTGCACTTAAAATTTAAATACAATAACTGACAAGTGACAACCAACCTTAAAATTTGCACTTATCTCATACTATTACTTTATCAATTCATGTTTTTATATTTCAAATTTTGAAAAATCCAAAAAATTAGTGCAAAATCTCTTTTTATTTATAATTAAAAAATTGTTCTATAGTACAATTAAAAGTAATTGATAAACCTTAATCCCTTACAACGGTTAACAACATAACGTTGATGTTTAGCGGTCTTTGTCAATTATCTATCCATTAGCAATATTTTTATTGGTAACTGCAAATTTACATGATAGTTAAAGGTCTAATTATAAATGTTGACTGAATTTTGGGCCAAAACAATTACTATTTATATATATACACACACATATATACTATACACTATTTTTGTTTTGTTAAAAGGGTTTTCATCATCCTCACTTAGTCACTTGGATGGCATACCTACATAATTAAGTAGCCATATTGCTGGATTATATTTAGGCCCAAATTAACTGAAATTTAACTTAGCAAGGCTAAAGATTAAGATAGGCATCGGATTCCTAGACGTTTGTGGGCATAGCGAGAGCGTGCATGAAAATAATTTTTAAAAAGATTGGAAAAATAGACAAAAGAAAGGAAGAAAAAAAAGGTTAGGGTTTTAGAAAAGTCGGGTTCAAGTTTCTAAAGTGAGGTGCCCACACGGTTGTAGGAATCCCAAGCAATTCAACATCTACAAATCATTTTTTCTTACATTTTTAATTCAGATTTTAGGAATGATCAATTCTTTTCTTTGCACACGTGGGACAGATATTATGAATTTTCGGTTTATCTTCTTGCCTTCTCTTTTTTTTTGTGTGTGCAAATATCTTCTTGTCTTCTCATGGTACAAACTTGTTAGCATGATAGGTTAATTTAGTTTTGTTACTAACCATGATTTTAGTTACGGATTTTGCTTTTCAGTGTTGTCTTTATTTTATTTCTGGCTAACTTTGTATAATGAAT